ATTATGTCTGTGTGTTCAACAGCAAGCCAATATTTCCCTCATCATACAGAATCTGTTTCTTGCACCGCTAATAATATATTTTCAAATCAGATTCGAAACTTGAATATTTAGCATTACTACTGGCGTTTGTTTCAGTTTCTTCATGCCTACCGAAAAATGCCTACCAAAAAAACGTGCTGAATCCTTCCATCTTGCATTTTTTTCTCCTCTTTTTCCAATTGATTTTTCATCCACAGAGAGCTGACAAAGTTCAGTCCTTTGAAGTTTAGTAAAGTAACCAGGACCCAGGGATTTACTCTCTTACCATTCTGGAAAAATTGAGGCTGGTCATATTTCCACAAACTTGCAGCTCATGTTCTCTTTTGTAAAGTAAACATTTCTCGCTCAAGGGGGAGACTTTCAACAAGAGAATACCGTTGTTTCATATTCAAACTATGTGAACAGATTCTCATTTTTGCATTTTAAAAATCCAGTTTTTTAAGTTCATTGGTTATGTTTGACAATGGAATTAGAGGTTAACTCACATTCTGTGCACTTTTCTGCAGCACATTTACTGAAACCAACACCTCTGAGCTCTATTTTCTTTTTGTATTCTCTTTCCCCAAAATTTATTTAACAGTCTGAATATTTCACTTTTTCTCTACATGGTATTTTCATTTTCTGTTTCTGGCTCAGTACTTTTTCTTTTCAATATCCTGAAATGAATAACATATTAGCTTACTGGATATTAGAATTTATAACTTTTAAAAAATAATGTATAAGCTAGGCATGGTGGAGCATTCCTGTAATCTCAGTTACTCTGAGAGGCTGAGGCAGGAGGATCTCAAACTCAAGCCCAGCCTTGAGCAATTTAGCGAGACCCTGTTTTAAGATTTTAAAAAAGAGAAAGAGCTGGAAATAAGGCTCAGTGCAAAGGCTCTGGGTTCAAGTCCCAGTATCAGGAAAAAATATCAAAAAGGAAAGAATATATAACTGTACCCTTGGGGCCCCAGCTATAAACAGCAGATGTTTGACAATGGAATTAGAGGTTAGAGACTATAGAATTAGAGACAAATGGGATCGTGAGGCGGCAGCAGGATTTTCAGTTTGGCCCTTGCCAAAAACATGTTTGCTTTCTGAAAAAAATGGGTGATGTTTCTCCCTTGGATAAGGAGCAGCTGGGCCAGGACCCCCACAGCTGCGAGTCTGGCTGCATCCCACAGCTGTGAGTCTGGCCTGCGGAGCCAGGCCAACTTTTGGGTTCTCTCAGGAAGCCACAAACCCAGGCCAGGGATCATGGTTTGCAAACCGGTCTGCAAACCAGCTTGGGTTCAAGCTGAAAACCTCCGCGTGAGCATCAACGCAGCCCAGCTCCTACGTGGGTCGGTCACAGACCTCAGGAGGACGTGCGGTTTCTGTTTTGGAGAAATGAAAATTTTCAATAACGACCAGAGATCTGTAAAGCCCCGGAGGGAGCTGGCTTCAACGTCGCCCCCGCGCTGCCCCTGCAGATCACAGCAGCACCGCTGTGGCCCTGAAAAAGCCATGGGGGTGCATCTGGGCACATGGGGTGAGAAGCTGAGTCAGGTGTATCTGGGGCCACACAGGACAGGTGTCCAGGGAGCAGGTGTCATGGCCTCACTGTCTTTCCAGGCTGGGTTTCTCCTCCTGTCCTCATCCCAGGCGACAGCCTCCCGCGCACCCCAGGGCTGTGCCGTCCACCTCTCACCTGCCAGTCAGATGTGCACAGATGGAAAAACGACTGCGCGTCCCGCCCGCTATTCCCGACGTCCCACCCTGGGGATGCCCACAGCCCAGCACAATTGCCCCCTCCTTCCGGCAGCCTTTCCGTGTTGTCGCCCCCTCAGCCAACAGCTCTCTTTTCGTGTCCCTTTAGCTCCCACCTTTGTTCTGTCCGCTGGGGTCTGGGTGGACCGGGCCAGTGCTCGGAACCCGGGGCCCATGTCCCGTTCGCCTTGCGCTGGCAGCCTGTGTCCCACTGCCAGGACAGTCCGTATGCTCAGACAAGACTGGCGGATTGACTGTTTCTCCTTTGATTTTTGAATTGGAGTTATGGCACTCTTCTCTTACAGGCGCCTGCACAGTTCTTCTGGTCACATTATTTTGTATATTTTGGTTTCATTTTGTGTGTGTGTGGTACTAGGGATTGAACCCTGGGCTTTCACACTGAGCTCCATCCCCAGCCCTTCACATTTTAAAAAAAATTTTATTTAGAGAGAGGATCTCGCTAAGTCACTAAATTACTTAGGCTGAGCTCAAACCTGCAAACTTCCTGTCTCAGCCTCCTAGCTGCAATTACAGGTGTGTGCTGCCTCTTTTGATTTTTTTTTTATATTCATCCCACCCCTGCTGTAGATACAAGCTCTTGTTTTATTAAAGTGGAATTAAAAAAAAATTAGTACATGTTTGTAATATGTATAACGTCCACAATGTTGTGTACAGGTTTGTGTAAGCTTCAACAATACGTGGTGTTGCTTGGAATGAATTTGCCTTTTGCTAAGGCAAACACTTCCATGGGGATTTCAGATGCTAGTAGCTAGTGAGGAGGTGTCTGGGCAGTGGCCCTTGGATTGTAGCAGGCGGTGGTCAGCATCTTGGTCAGCAGCCACTTGTGTCTGTCCCTGACCGTCCCATGTATTGTGTCATGTCGTTCCATCCCATCCCCCCGCTCCTGACCTGGGCTCCGTCCCCTCTGGCAGTTAGGCAACCTGGTGAGAGCTCTCATTTCCAGGAGACAGCCATTCTCTCCGACACACACACCATCCACAGACCTTGGTGTTTTTTCACTTTTTTTTTTTTTTTTTTTTTTGGTTCCAGGAACCAAACTCAGGACCTTGCACGTACCAGGCAGGCACTGTGTTGCTGAGCTATATCCCCAGCCTGACCCTGACATTTTTGATCTCTACTTTTCAAGGCTGATTACTTTCCAGCTAGGTCTTGTTTTCAAGAAAGAGTGTTACTGAGAAACCCAAAGAATTATTATTATTTTTTGTTGTTGTTGTTTTTTCTCCGGTACCTGGAACCAAACTCACGACCTTGCGCTTGCCAGGTAGGCGCTTTGCCACTGAGCTAAATCCCCAGCCCCCCCAAAGAATTATTGTTGATGTGGCTTATATCTATTTATAGACCACATTAGAAATAAAAACTAAAAAATTTTAAAAATATTTAATAAATCCATTTAAAAAAATAGTAATAGCTAGAGGAGGTGGCACCTGTCTGTAATCTCAGCTACTTGGGAGGCTGAAGCGGGAGGATCAAGTTCAAGGTCAGCCTGGGCAACTTAACAAGACTTTGTCTCACAATAAAATAAAAAAGGCTGGGTTGTAGCTCAGTGTTAGAGTGTCCCTGGGTTTGATTCCTAGTATTACCAAAAAAGGGTACTGAAACCATTACAACTTAACATTTTGTGAAAAATAGCTATATTTTCCAAAACATAAAAAATTTAGTGTGATGAGAAGCCTTGATCGACATTTTTACAAGTTTTATTACTCATATCTAGCTTAATAATAGAGATCTGCATTGGCATTCAGTCTCTTTCTGTACCACCTTGAGCAGCTTTGGGAAAATTCCACCGTATACTTGAGAGAGAAACTCAGTGAAAGAGGCAGCTGGCATTTGACTCTTTTTTTGCTTTTTTGAGACAGGGTCTTGCTGTGTAGTTCAGGAGGGTCACAAGGTCTTCACACAAGGTCGTCTCTTCAGCTGTCCCCTTCCGCATGTGGCCTTGGACCTGGTACATTTCTCAGTCAGGACATCACCCAAAGAATGAGAAAAACTCTTTTTAGAGAACAGCCTCGGTGTTAGAATTTGTTTTTATTTATATTTATATTTAGTTCATCTATTTTAGTGTCCCTTAACGGAACAGAAACTTTAAATGCCCCAAACTGAGAAGATTATGATGCCCTCACTCCTTAGAAAATCAAAAATAAAAACAATTTCTAACACTGAGGCTATTCTCTAAAAGGAGTTTTTCTCATTCTTTGGACGATGTCCTGACTGAGAAGTGTACCAGCTCCGAGGTCACATGTGGAAGGCACAGCTGAAGAGCCGCCCTGAGGGGAGAACTCAACATTCTCATAGTTGTGTCTCGGTTCTCTTCTCATCCTGCTCATTTCACAAACAAGGAAGCTGAGTCCAAGCAAGCGCGGTGACTCATCCAGGTCTCCAGGGCTCCCCATTCCAGCGCGGCCTTGTTAGCAGTGGGGTCCCCGACTCTTTCTGCAGATCCCTGTGAGGATGTGGTGGGGAGGGATGGGCTTTGGTACACCTCTCTTTTAGCCTCAGCCCCTTCGCAGGAACTGAGGCCCAAGCAGGGTGAAGGCCAGTGACGATGACTGTGGGACAGTCCCTGTCCCACTCCACCTCTCTCTTCCTCCTCTGGGCCACCCATGCAGGGCAGGACTTCCTCCTCCAGGTCCTTCGCATGTCACTCATGGTATTCAGAGGTGCATCCCTTCTTGTCCAGAAATTGCCGTTCCTTGGTTCAGCCATCACCCGCATTACCACACAGCTGGCATGGGTCAGAGCAATGTGAACTGTTTCAAATCAAGTTCTCCTTCAAAGGATAAAGATCGGCTACACCTTGAGAATTCAAAAGTCTCGGATGTAAACTCTCCAAAACTCCAGCACAGATTGGGTGATCACTGTCAGCCTGCTATGAAGTCATTTTTTGGCATTCATTCAACGAAGAAATATATTTTAAACTTATTTGTTGTATGAAGCACTGTTCTAGGTTCTGGGGATGTAGGGAGGGCCAAACAGAACAGGTTTCTGTTCTGTAGAGCTCACACTCGTGGTGGGAGACCAACAGTAACCCAAGTGAGCAGAGGACAGAGGTGACTTCAGATACCTGTGCCAAGAGGGTGATGTGACAGAGGCAGGGAGCCAACTTTGGATGTGTCCTTGTAGAAGGCTGGTCTGAAGATGCCTTCCATAAGACAGACGCAGTTACCATGCCTTCAAGATCCCCTCCAGTGGTAAGATTTACCATTTGCCCCTAGCAGGTTGCCCAGAGGAACAAGACTTGGTGGAGGAGAAGAGGCATCAGCTTCCCGTGGCCCCGTGTCTGCCTCTGGTAAACACCTCTGAGAAAAACTGCTTTGAGCTAACGGGCACCACTTGTCCCAAGAATCCCCTGAAGGTCCTTGGGTGGGATGAACTGGACCACTCACAGCATTTGGGCCCTCAGAGCCAGCAATGCCTCCCTGGAGAATCTTGCCCGGTCGCTTTCACCAGGTAAGAACAATTGAAAACACGCCCAAGGCAAAATGGCTGTTACTGTCCAACAACAGGCTGAACATGAACTCTGAAAAACTCTGTGAGGCAGGTGTTCACATTCTGTCCACCTCACAGATGAGGTAAATGAGGCTCTGAGAGGGCAAGTGTCTGCCTCAAGAGCACACAGTCAGGAAGGCCTTGAGACCTAGGCAGTTGGACCCAAAAGGTCAAGTCCTTCCATGATCTCATGCCCATGAGTGTTCTTGGTCAGCCCTGCCTCTGCCTTCGCAGGATAGCTACATCCCTTTGCAGCCCTGGATGGCCATCCTTGCACTGTCTCTTCTCCTTGAGGTACACAGGCATGGCCAGCCTCTGTCAGCTAGTGAGTCTGGTTCCCCTGTCCTTGCTATGGCATCATGGGTGTTCTGTCACCCACCCCAGTTTCCTGCACCAAGCCCTTGGCTTGGTGCTCCATCCCGGGTGACTCGCATTCAACAACAGGCACTGGGAAGATCTGGCTTCTGAGCCACCTCCTGACCCTTAGATGGGTGTCAGTAGACTGACAGCAGCTGTCCCAGGGGAACCTGAAGAGGGCCACTGGCCTATGCAGTGGGGCAGGGGCAGAGACAGAGGGCCTGAGCTGTTGAGGTGCCCAGCACAATTCTATCTGGCTTGGTGCTCCAAGAAGCTACAATTCCTGGCTCCTAAAACCCAGGAATAGATTCCTGTGGTGACCCAGCGTGTCCCTTCACTATCCTGGCAGCTGTCTCTTTGTCAGAGTGTCTGTGTAGCCAACTCCCAGGACACGTGACCAGAGAGAGAAGTGCCACCTGCCAGGACTGGGGATCATCAACCTCATCTTATGGGGAGGAGAAACAGGAAGGGCCTGAGTGCAGGCGAAGAGAGCTCTGGGTTTGGAGTAAAAATGTCACCTCGGGTCCTGGCTGCAGCCTGACCTTGGATGGGTGCCTTCCTCTGAGCTTCCTGGTCTCTATGACTGGGGGTGCTAAGATTCCTTCCCACTCCGAGAATCCAAGGACAGCTATGACTGGAGAAGGCACGGACTTGGGAGCCCCACTCCTTAGGGCAGGAAAAATTCCTTCACAGTGGGAAGAATTGTCTCCTTCCTCCCCACAAGAGGAAGATCCTCACCTCTGCCACCTTTCCTAGTCTCAGCACAGCTTGCCGGAGTCTGGATCCCTTTTAAGCCCTGCCACACCCGCTAGCTGGTCCTCATCATTGGATCCCTCTCCTTTCTTTTTTCTGGACCTTCTGTCATAGCTGGTAACCTTGCGCAAGGAAAGTAGAGGTCAGAAGTGAAATGATCACATGGAGGAAGTAGAATATAGTGTGTGAACACATGGTTTAAGGCTAGAGAGACACGAGTTCACATCCACACTACACTGCCTCTTACTAGCTCTGGGACCTTGAGCAAGTCGCATCCCTGTGAGCTGGTCTCTTCACTGTGAAATAGAAATAATGACTGTTCATACCGCGTGTCTATTCATGAGCTCATAAGACGTTAATGTTACCATTCAGGCTCCCGAAGAGCTTATTTGCATGTGTGTAAGAATTGCTTCCAACTAATCCTCTCCTTTTCTTCTCCTTTACTTTCTGAAGGCAACAACATCACCATGAAGCCAGAGACCAGGTCTGTAGGACCCAGAGGGGAGGACTGGGCCCAGAAAAGGGGTCTGCAGGTGTAGGTGGGATTGTGGCTGTGGAGAGAAACCAGAAGATGCTCAGCTATGGGGAGGGAGAAGCCCTGAGCTGGGCGAGCAGGCGCGGGGCAGGGAGCCCAGGGTACCTCAGTGGTGGTCACCAGGCAGCTGCAGCAGCTGGACTGACCTCGTCTCCCTCGGGTGCTCTCCCCAGCATGAACACGGCAGCCACTGCCCTCTCAGGATCCCTTGGTGTTGTGGGCCTCCTCTTGCTCCTGGTGGGTCTCTTGGTCATGGTCTTGAAGAAATGGAGGCACGAGAGTGAGTTGAGCAGCTGGCCCTGGACATGGGAATGCAGAAAGTGGGGAGCTGGGGGAGACGTGGGGTGTCTTTCCTGTGGGGCAGCCTTGACAGGGGAGGGGCACAGGGCAGGCTATAGAGTCTTTCTCTAGAGTCACCAGGGACTCCTTACATAGCAGCAGGAGTTTTTCATCATACAAATTCTTCATGCTGAAAGCCACATAGAAGCCATTTGCATATAGATGCATCAACTAAAAGAAATACTGATAGCAAGTGCTGTTATCTACATAACAGCAAAATTACAAAATGTACTCATTCCCCTGTCTTCCTGGGAAATTTACTTAGCCTCAGAGGCCCATTGAGAAAGGGTTTTGCATTTCACAGTTGAGCCTTAAACTCAGCAATTTGACCTTGAGTTTATTCATTTTTCTAGGACTATTTAAGAATCAACTGAGACGTCAGACCAATTTTCTCCACAAACCTTTGGTAAGGCAGTAAGTGAAGCCACATACAGAGAGGGCCCTGGCCATCTCTGCATGTGGTTTCTTGGTGTTTCCTAGATGGAACTGAAGTGGGTGACTGGTCAGGAAGCAATGTGCTTGAAAACCCAGGGCTCTGCTCACCAGCCTATAGGGAGAGCCAGGCACCTGGCTTTGTTTTTAGAAGTCCCCACTGCTTGACTATCTATTACTGTACTGTTTCTAAAGGATTCTTCCTGCCAAGCTGAGGCTGTGTATTGCAACGTGGCCCCCTGGAAAGAGGAAGACTTCACCATCTATGCCAATATGCCCCAATTCGATTGCCCCAGGAGGACAAGGAAGACACCAGACCAAGTGGAATATGCCTCTATTGTATTCCGCTGATGGGACCTGGGGCACTGCGAGTGGCGGGGAAAGGACTCTGGATCCAAACACCACTCCCGTTTTTGATGTGTGAATATATGTGTGTTTCTAAAAAATGCACAAAACACTTGTGGGTGGAGGTTGATGGCTAGGTATTGCTTCTAACTTACTGGAGTCAAAGTTTGGTCCCAGTGGGAAGGAGTGACATAGGAGACACAAAGACATGCTTGTTCATTGTTGTTGCCAGCTCTCCCCAAGTCCAGAGACAGGTTGTGAGATGAAGGGGCCAGCAGCGTGCTCTCCCAAGGCAAAGGAGGTTGGGGTGAGGTGGTAGATGCTTCCCATCCAGGATGTGGCTATTCTGCCATGCCTGGAAGTGACACCCTGTAGGACAGCAGACACACACTTGCGTAGGTGACACACGATTGACTCTCTGCTGGACGGGATGCCCCCAGTGGGGAGCAGGAGGGCTGCGGGTGCGTGGGAAGAGCTTCTTACTGGAGGACTTGGTGCCATCTGGGAAAGAACTGGGGAAAGAACAAGAGGTAAGAAGTGGGCAGCACTCACTGCTAGCCTCGGGATTTGGGGCGATGCCTGGAACTTTGTAATTGATTTGCTCCTTTGTCCCCCCCAAAACAAATCTGTGTTTAGCACTTCTGTGCTTAAGGTCCTGGAACTATAACAAGGAACCCTACAGACAAAACATTATCATCATAGAGCGTACCATCTAGAATGAACAAATGTACAAGCAAATACCCAGCATGTCAGGCGTTGTTATGTCCTATGGAGAAAATAAAGCAGGTCATTGGGTGGGAAGTGCTGGGTGGGAGCAGGTTTTGTACTGGACGGTCAGAGAAGACCTCATTGACCTGAAACAAGCAAGAACAGGAGACTGGCGATAAGGGGGAAGACCATTTCAGTCAGAATGAATAATGAGTGCTAATGTCCGAGGACAGAGGTGCAGCTGACATGGTCAACAAAAGCAAGGTCTAGACTCTCTTTAGAGTGTCTGGACCGGAGTTTCTGGGAGCAGGAAGGGTCAGAGTAATGATGTGGAAGGAGTCGGGTTCTTGACTATTTCAAGAAGGAACTTTGGACAGTTTTGAAAATTATCCGACTTAAAGTTTAGAAAGATTTTGTTTGCTGCTAACCTTGGAAATGGACTACAGGGAGCAAGAATGAGAGGAGAAGTAGAGCAAATGCCAAACGCTGGAGTGCCAGCAGTGAGACTGACAACAGCAGAAGGACTGGCATGCTTCCCTGGGGGCTGCTGGAAGGCAGAGCTCTAGGCAGAAGACAGAGACCCCGTTAGGTCAGTCTCTGGGTGGCAGGCACCCCAGGGGGGCAGTGGGAAAGGGAAGAGCTCAGCCCCACGCAGAACTAAAGCGAAGGCTGCGAGGATAAATGGGTCACACAGTGGCAGGACCAGAGCTCTCAGCACCTGCAGGTTTTGCTCTGGAAGCTCCGCTCTTCCTCTGCTGTCTACCATCTTGGGAGAAGTTAAAGGGACAGTGACAGTCACCAGTGGTGACAGGGACCGTGGGAGGACCGGCACCAGAGACTCAACAGGGCTCAGGCTGCTCACCAGCACCACCCTGCCGGGAACACCCTTCCCCACCCAGCTTCCTCAGTTTGGCCCTGTGTCAGAGACAGAGGAGAGGTGGGGAAGATGCCTCAGAGGGGTGCAGAGAGCAGCGGGGCCTGGTCATTGGTTCACGGGCTATTCAGGAGTGCCCTGTTTCAGCCCAGCACTGAAGGTAGCCTGGAGCCGAAGGTACCGGGCAGAAGAGCCACTGCTTAGACATCCACAGCACAGATGGCCTATTCCGATCCATGGCTGGTTGCCCTCTGCACTTTTGGCCTTTGAAAGAGTCTCACTTAAATTAGGCATTGACTTAAAGTGGCGTTTCCCACAGCACAGTCCATGGGCCAGCCGTAGCAGAGCAAAGGCCTGTGCTATTCTGAGTACCTCGCTCCTATGACTCTTGTCTATTCATCTCCTAGACATTCCCCTCCATCACAGGCCCCCAGAACATGATTCCCCATCTCCTCTCCAACCTGCCCTTGCCACTGAAATGAGGTCAGGGCAAAGCACCTCTGAGCTCAAAGACGCACACAGTCTACATACGAGAGGCATTAACGCTGTAGGATGGAGAGCAGCGATGAGGCCTATGATCACCTAATGATGAGAAATGGTGAATAAGCAATGAGTCATGTAGAATTTTTTCCCCTTTAAAACCAATGCTGATGGCAACCACTCCTCATAGTGAGCTGATAGTTCCCTGGGCTTTATTCCACCGGCAGGGCCTGGGGAAGGAGGAGAAGGCATTCAGAATTGCTACCATTTCCAAGCCACTGTGGCTTTCCTAGGTTGAAATCAGGCAAGAGTAGGAGCCCCTGGTCCTAGCAGAGAAGGAGGCTTATCCTGATGGTGCCACCTGATTTGCCTGGGACCTCCTGCTGGCCCAGGGAAATTTTTATAAGGCCTACTTTCACTCTCCAGAGCTATAGTTTGGATGATAAATTATATTGTTACCTGTTAAAAAGGCTTTGAAAATGCCAAAGTAGGCCTAGGCTGAGTGAGGAGGGAAAATGAAATTGTTTTTGTATAATAAAGCAAGGAGAGTTGAATAGGCACGGGGGAGGGGTTTGAGGAAGGTAGTAGTAAAATTTTGAGGTAGAAAAATTTTGAGGTTAAAATTGTGAGGCATAAAGGACACCCCCCAACCCCAGGGAAGCTGCTGAACACACGTGCCTTGTGGAGTATTTGGGGGAAGGGGAAACTAGGGAAAGGGGCGTGAAATCCGAATCCTCGGTCTGCATAGAGCAGAAATAAGGGGGAAGTGGTAAGAGGTGCATTATGAATGAGTTGGAGAATTCAGGAGGAAGTTGAACTCGGAACTAGAAGTAATCAAGAGAATATAAACACTCTGGAAATCTCAGGAAAGACTCCAGTCCTTCCAAAGAACCTGAGAAGGCCTGGTCCTACTCTATTTAAATCTTCTTCTAACTGTTATAATAGGTTGACCTTAACGTAAATCTGGGTTGTAATATTTAGATAGGGTTTCTTATTGTAGGACTTCTCTTAGCCTTCTTCATGTCATGTACCTTGTGAATAACCATGCAATATTCTTCAAACTCCCTTTTATCCCCCTAGCTCATCTACAAAGTGTCTGGTGATACTTTATGAAGAGCTGGTTTAAGGTGGTACCTGCCCAGGTAGCCCTGTCATAGAGGGACCTCAGCAAGCAGATTAATCTTGCTTCCACCCAGGAAGGATACAGAATAAACACTGGACTTGTGGGTGGGCAGATGGACTGGCTCTGCCCAGCCTGAAGCCCGGATGCCTGTTCTGTCTGCTTTGATTTGTGTGCAACAGCACCAAAGGTGTGGGTAGGCAGCAGAGGCATTACTCTGAGGCAGTAGTTCCTGCTGGGGGTGTTTTGTCTCTGCCACCACCTCACCCCAGGGAACATCTATAATGCCCAGAGACTGTTTGGGTTGGGAACATGTTATCAGCATCTGATGGACGAATGGTTAAGGTGCTGCTCAACATCTTTTGGTGTACAAAACAGAGGCCCACAGAGAAGAACTACCCAGTCCTAAGTATTAGAAAACCTACTGTGGGATTGTGATGGGCCCCATGGGGGGAGGTCTTCCTTTTGCTGCCTCCTATAGCTGAGATGACGATGCTGCCCAGGCCTCTATGCCCCAGGTCAGGGCTCAAGGTTACTCTCATAGCAGTAAACTGAGTATGGAATAATGATTATCAAATCTCTGACAAAGCATCCTGGTTTGCCTGGACTGTCCCAGTTTTAGCGCTGAAATTTCAGGTCCCAGAACAGCTCTCATGGTTTGTGTCTTGTTGTCCCCCCAAAGCCACAAGAGGTCATAGATGGGGTTTACAGAGGTGGTTGGATCTAGAGTGTGTGGTACTGGAATTAAGCATGTGTTTACCTGCTCATAGGGCATATAGGCTGCACAGAATATAAGGACAGAAAGAGTACTGCTATCATTGCTTGCCACTTCCTGCTTCCTCACTATTTTGCTGCTTTATTGCCTTCTGCCCACCATGAACTGTTTCTCCTCTGTGACGCCCCTTTGCTATGCCACTGTGCCTTGGAGCCAGCCAACTACAATCTGAAATCTCTACAAACTGTGAGCTACGATAAATCTTTCCTTTAACTTTGGGTGCTAGATATTTTGTCTCAGCAATGAGAAACATAACCAAGACAACAACCCTTGGGCCTGTGCTACTGGCCACCTTAGTAGCCAGGGACTCTTTAATACAGGGTTCATCTTCGTGATTTTGGACAAAGCAGCTGTTCTTCTCAGTCAGGATGGGAGAATTCTGAGCTTTTCTGTTTTGTCCCAGAGGGAAAAGGATTGACAAACTCCTAGGTTTTGGGCACTGAGACAAGTATCTACAGCCACCTCCCAGAAGGCGTGCTGTCTCTCTCCTTGCTATCTACCCATAGCCATAGCTGCCTCTCAGAGACCAGCCCAGGGCCCTTGGCTACATGAGCATGACTGGGTGTTGCTTTCCTGGAAGGTGTTTGGAAAAATCTGTTTCCTGGGCTGAGGCTCTGCTAGATGCTTGGCCATATGCCAGGTGCTATATCTCCCAGGAAAGCCTAAGTCTGTGAGGGTCTGAACAACCCCAAAGAAAAGTAGGTATCTGTAGGTATTTTCACAGATTCTCCTGGGCAGGGATTTGGAACATGAAATGCTTTGCAAAGTCCTGAGAATCTCTGTGTGTTTGGAAACAAGACCCACTTGCTGTCTTAATGTTTCTATTAGAGCAGGCTAGGGATGTCACTCAGTGGTAGAGCAGTAGAGCACATGCCAGCATGCATGAGGCCCTGGATTCCATCCCAGTACTGAAGAACAAAAAAAGGCAGAAGAAGAGTGAGGAAGAAGAGGAGGAAGAGGCAGAGAATGGGAAGAACAAAAAGAAAGAGAAGAAGAAGAAAGGGAAGAGGGAGAGAGGGCAGGTGGGAAAGAAAGAGGGAGGAAAAAGCAGAACTAAATGTCCCCTCAAAGCCTCATTTATTCAAAGATGGGACTTTTGAAAGTGGCTGGACCATGGGTGTGTGATGCCGGGTTAGTCCACTTATGGGTTTACAGATGGGTGTGATGTTGGGAGGTGAACCTTGGAGTGAAGAGAAGGTCACTGGGGGCGACCTGGAAGGGCTTTATCCCTCCTGCTCCCTGCTTCCAGCTGCCATGCCATGAGCTCTTTCTCCTCTGTCATGCCACCCTGCCATGAAGACAGCCGACTATGGACTGAAAGCTCTACAAAATGTGAGCGGAAATAAACCCTTCCTCCTTAGAGTTGTAGGTGTCAGGTATTTTGTTCCAGCAATGAGAAAGTAACTAAGAATAAATATTTAAAGAATAGAATAAGCCACCTTTTCATGTCCAGTAGGAAGAATATTTTATCACTGACATCATTTAGAATTGCTGGTGAGTGGCCATACAAAGCAGACTGCCTTTATTTTGTTTCACTCTTTCTAAATCCTCCGTAGACAGTGCAGCCCTTGGGTGCCAAGACACTCCCACCCACCCTTGGTTCCCCTCTGTCCCTGCAGTTTTGTCTTGGCCCTTCCCTGCTGGGCCTGACTCTTTGCATGCTAACTAACCTCTGTGAGCCCAGGGCTTCTCGTCTGTGAAATGGAAATAATAATGACCATTTGACAGGCATTGTCTGATGACATCATATGAAAATATTTTCTAAACTCTACCTT